CTGATGTATGTATAACGGTTCCAACCCCCTACTGTAAGGATATAAAAGATCTCAAGAAAAAGGGTCTTTAACTTGAGGCAATCAACTCTAAGAGTAAAATATAAAATGTAAGGATTACCAAATATAATCAATTTCATACCTCTCTTCTACATCTACTGTCAGTCAGAAATTGTTATATTCAAGAAGATTTTCCTGAGTGGCATGGTGTGTGCATGGGCGCATGTGTTATGTTGAATATGCCAAATAATTTGGAACCTTGCAGCTGTGGGTATGCAGCAGGTGGGGATGAGGAGACTGTTACATTTGGAGGTCAAGGCAAACCTTCTACTTCACCCCCTCAGTCTTTGGTGGTAACAGCCAACACAACTACCAGCCAGCTGTCTGCTCCAGGCAGCAAAGTAATTAATTTTTACTATATGGGTATAAAACTATTTTCTGGTGATTATATAAACATTAACCATTTGGGGGAAAATGATACTGAAAAAAATAAGAAAAAATAATTTATCAAATAAAATATTACATTTTAGTATATTACAAGATTTAGTACATGACATTTAGCATATTATAAGATTTAGTACTTAACTTGTACACAATTTGTAGTACATAATTAGCATGTCTGACCTCTTTGTGCAGAATGATTTTAGATATCTCTTCTGAGAGAAGCAGTACATGTTTATGAAAACAGTAAAAGGTAAAAGGTGGTAGTAGAATGAAGATGTTTTATAGAAAACAACAAGCACACAAAAAATTATTTGTCAAACTATTTGTGTCATATTGTATTCTTAAGATTAATAAATAAAATGATGAAATATTTTCTTAAAAATACTAAACTATGGATAGTCAGATCCTCCCACCCCTTGCTGGTAATGTTTCATTAAAGATTACTTATTACAGTACATAGGACTGGTCACTAAGTTGTAGTTCCTTTCATATACATGAAAAACTGCCATAGCAGGGTTTTTTTAAATGCCTAGGTTTGAATCCTGGCTCCAAGGCTTGGTATTATCTGTCTTACCTTTATGAAGTGAAAGAACTTCCCAATGTCTCAGTTTTCTCATTCACGAAAAAGACAATAATTGTCTTTTTGTCATTCACAGAAAAACAATGATAACTGTCTACCTATTTCATGGGATTTGGGCGATTAATGAAATAACAATCATGGCAAGTGCTTAGAATAGATCTGGGAACAAATGTTCATATCACTCAAAAAGGTGGTATCGATGGAAAATTCTGAAGAATTGTATGATTAGTTGTCTTTGGGAATTGTGAGAGAGTGACTCATATAAATTATATTAGAATGAATACATGATTTCACAGTTAATCTGCATAGTAAGTGATAGCTATTATTGTCATTACTGACAAGCAATACTTGTGATATTTAGACATTAAACTTTTTTTTTTGAACAAGATAACACAGCTATACCCCCATTTTTCTGGAAGAAACTACAAACAAAATAAGACAAAGAGAATTAAGCCCTGGAACCTATAGTAGCAATCTTAGGGAAGCCGGGCCAGAATAACCTTAGGAGAGGCCACAGGAAGCTGGGCATGGGAGTTGGGTAGGGGTGAAGTTCAGAGAACTGAGCCTGATCATAGCTACTTAGAGGCCTACCAATCCTGGTCACTTTCTCTTTTCTCAAACAATGCTCAAGGGGAGAATCACCATTGGAGAACCACCATATTCAATGTGAGGATCATTATCACTGGATCTGCAATCAGTCACATCAAACCTGAAGGAGAATGTTCAGAGCCTGAGAGTACCAAGCCTTTATTTAATGCCTTTTGAATACTAAGAATACCATTTCGTCAGCCAGCATGAAAAGAGAATTTGAACAAATTCTTTTTACCTCCTCATTCAGCTCCTTTAGAGACCACCAGGACAAACTGACTAAGAACCAAATATGAAAAACAACCAGATCGCTCTACTCTCTGGGATAATTATTCTCAGGATATGAATTATAGACCATAAGGGGACAGAAAGAGTGTGTTAAATTATTTCAAATTATGAATGTTAGCTTTTAAACAAAAACATAATTGAAAAGTATGTTACACATTTACAAAACCCTCATACTTATTCCTGACAATACTGAATAACAAACACATTTTAACATTAAGTTTAGAATATGATTTTAATTAAATTCAATACATTCAATTAGGGTTATGTAATATTACGGTATCATGCAGGAACCTAGAGATATAATGATCATAATCATTAAGTCTGAATAAAAAGATAATAGGGGCCGGGCGCAGTGGCTCACGCCTATAATCCCAGCACTTTGGGAGGCCAAGGCAGGTGGATCACGAGGTCAAGAGATCGAGATAATTCTGGTCAACAAGGTGAAACCCCATCTCTACTAAAAATACAAAAATTAGCTGGGCATGGTGGCACGCATCTGTAGTCCCAGCTACTCGGGAGGCTGAGGCAGGAGAATTGCTTGAACCCAGAAGGAGGAGGTTGGGGTGAACCGAGATCGTGCCATTGCACTCCAGTCTGGGTAGCAACAGAAAAACTCCGTCTCAAAAAAAAAAGATAATAGGATCCTTGTGAGACTAATTGAGGCAATGTATATGAAATATTTTTTTTCTGTGTTTTATACAAGATACATACTTAATAAATGGGAATTGTCTTTACTGTTAATATTAACAAGCTGTACTCGCTGCCCGTATGTTCCAGATGTTCACAGTGTATTTTAAATAATAATAAAAATGTCTGGCCTTACAAGTGTAGGAACATAGGAAAAGAGTTTTAATTTAATGCAATTAAAGAATTCTGTTATATGCAAGTTTTATTTTTATTCTATTGGGATAAGAGTAGGTAAAGCTAGGGAATTTATGTTTTCCCCCATAATGTCTGCTAATCAGATAAGTTACAAAAGGATCATCATAGAATATTAGAGAACAGGCCTGCAGACTCTTCAAGGAGAATGCCAGATGTGTCATTCCCGCTTTATTTTAATCAATTTCAACTGCTTTTATACATCACTAGAAAAGAGCATGTGCTAATATCCCTAATTTGTAATAGTAAATCTTTGGCTACAGCCTATTTCTAATATAGATGCACTAGCGGGATGATCTGCTTATTTTGAACTCGAAAAAATATTTTCAGTGTGGATTTGCTGAATATAATTCAATTTGCACATAAAACTTAATGTCTGGCATTACTCTAGTTCATTGAGTATGTTTCAGTTGAACCATGTTTATATTACTTGGTTTATATGCAAAAAAGACCCTACATATAGAAAGACTACAGAAACAAAATAGAGTTTTTATCAGATTTATAACTAGTAGTTCACTATATTGGAAGGTGGACTGTATTCAATCATTGTCTTTTTTTTTTTAATATAGCAAAATATTCAAAATATCATTAGTATGATGTTAGGAGGACTTTTTTTAGAAATTAATATCTTTTTTGGTAATTGACAGGAATTTGTCCAACTTCAATTGTTAGTGAGGCTGTGAAGAATTTATAGAATGGATTTATAATTGACTGCTAAGGCTGTCACCAAACTGTACAGGAAAACAAAGAAACAGACAAACAAAATGAAAACGACAAAGTCTCAACTGAAAGGTGTATCTCAACTGGTATATGTAAACCTCATCAAATAATATTTGCCTCTGCTTAGGATACTGATTTATCTTTAACACAAATTCCGACCCAATCACCTTCATTGAGTGACTCTGTCTGTAATATATTAAGACATGATTCTGGGGTAAGGCATTTTGCATGGGAGTAGTTAGAAGGCAAAAAATGGTGGAGAGAAAGGAGAGTTGGTGGGGACATATGACCTTCAGAACTCTAACTTTTATTGAGTCCTGCTAAGAACTCTCATGTACTTATTTAGAAATCTTCCATAAAATAAACAAAGTAGTATTTCTTTCATTTCCACATTAGTAAAACTAGGAAATATGTCTCAAAAGCATATAGAGCTTACTTGTATACAGAAATATATAAGCAATCCAATTAAATTAAACACAAAATTATAAGAAACTTGTTTTAATAATGAAAGGTTTAAAAATAATAGTGCTTCTAGATAAATCTTTTTTTATAAAGTCCTGATTAATGAGACATATGGCAAGAAAAATTACTATAATGGTGAATGCTGATTCAGAACCTTATTTTTATTAAGTAGTTTATAGTGAAGGCTGTGACTATTTTTCTATTTATAGTGGCAGCTCTGGTTAATTACCTTGTAATGCATTGTGACATTAATGCACTAGTAAACTATTGGAATTTACACCCTTATTCAGTAATAAAATCTGTAAATTGAAGAATGCACATAAAGCCATCACAGCCATAAAGTATGTGACCAAATGCCATGTATGATCACATTTGATTTAAAAAACAGACTGTCTCAAATTTACTCATTAGTATATAAATTCTGTGGCTACTTTGCAACTGTAGAGAGTATAACATTTTATTCAAGGTATTTGTAACTTGTTACTATGTTTTCCTTTTGGTTACTAAGAGCACATTGAACATAATTAAAATGAACAGTATCAGAAAAGAAACATACTGTGACAATGGTAAACAAATATAACAAAACACAAAATACTTTTTTCCTAAAAATATGAGAGTGAAAGTGGAAGAAATCAATGGAATTAAAAGGAGGTAGAATCCTGACACAAAGATTAAAATTAAAATGATTCATAGGTGAGGGGGCAGAAGGGGGTTAGAATGAGATTATATATAATTTTCAAAGTAGAGTTTTAAAACACAATTTCAAAGTCATCAGCAATTACTTCATCATCTCAAACACTCAAAGCACAGTCACTATTTTTTTTAAAAAGTATCAAGTAATCCAAGATATTTCATATGACAAAAGAATAAAATGGCAAAGTATCTGAAGCAGTCTTCTGTGTTACTGTTGAACTGAGTTTGTATTTTCTATAGAAAAGTTTCCTCTGCTAATATATATAACTATGTTAATATATTTTAAATGTTTTTGTTTCATATTGCTAGATTGATGCATAACAGAAAATTATATATGATTTTCCTATAGGAATATAGCCAAGCCCACAGACTACAAAAGGAATTAATATATAAAGCAATAATTCCTGAATCATTAACATGTATGTAGACTGGCAAAACTGCTTCAGGAAGAGAAAGAAAAAGATAGAGAATCACAGGTCAGTGGAGTAAGGGAACACCAAGAGATGTTGCTTATATTTTTAATATGTATGAAATTACAGTAGAAAAATAGAAAATAAAAAGGTAAGATGGTTCATTTATAGGCAAGTCAAAGAATACTGCCATATAATCCCACAAAAATTATTGGAGATAGAATTTCAATTATTCAAAGGACCTAATTTTTCATATTATATACAGTCAAATAAAAACCCATAACATACAAGAGAAACAGGCTGTCCTCCTCTGTCTCCCATGTCCCTTGTCAACAGATGAAAAGATAGATATAGACATATATGTAGAGTTTGCATGTATAATTTGAGTGCATATAATACAAATATCAACAATAGTGTATAGTATGCTTTTAAATTATAAATGAAGATGAGGGGTTATAGTTGAAAGGAAATATTTTATAGTTCCAAACTAATATCATTATACCAACTCTATCCCATTTCCAATATTTGTCTTTAAATATAAGATAGTCTTAAGAAAAATGAGTAAGAATTTTTGCACTGTTATTTTGAAAATTTGCACAAACCTCTTTATTTGTCTAATTAATTTTATTTTTATTTTGAAAACTGCAGGGCAGGGTCACATGAGTTAGTGATTGTAACTGCAATTTCATTGAACAATTAATCACAGAACAATTTAGGAGAGTTTCTGATCTTCAGATAAATTTGTATCATTCCTCCTAAATTGAATAAGAAGTAGAATCTATCAGGACAATGATTTTAAGGTAGAGAGCACAGTTTGAGGTAGATATCAAGCAGAAATGACTACTGGATTATGGTTGATATGGCTGGGATCTGTGTCCTTGTCCCAATCTCCTGTCAAGTTGTAATCGCTAACATTGGAGGTGTAGCCTAGTGGGAGGTGACTGAATCATGGAGACAGATTTCTTATGAATATTTTAGCCCCATCCCCCTTCATACTGTAGTGAGCAAGTTCTCCTGAGAGCTGGTCATTTAAAAGTGTGGCATCTCCACACTCATTCTCTCTTGCTCCTGCTCCAATCATGTGACATGCTCACTCCCTCTTCACCTTCTGCCATGATTGTACGTTTCCAGAGGCCTACCCAGAAGCTGAGCAGTTGCCAGCATCATGCTCATTGTAAAGACTGCAGGACCAGGAGCCACTTAAACTTCTTTTCTTTATAAATTACCCAGCTTTGGTATTTCTGTATAGCAATGTGAGAACAGACTACTACAACAGTCATTCATTCTCTTCCTGTTCAGTAGCTTCACTATGAAGGCAATGCCACTTTAAAGCCAGGTTTTTCGTAAGGCCTTCTGCCTACCAACTCTTCAGGTCTGATATATGTCAAATATTTTCTAGGAACTTGATATGTATTATTTCACTTAATCATCCTAATAAACCTGCTGGGATGGCATTATTATCCATGTTCTACAGATGGCAGACAGACACTGCCCAAGGTCACGCAAGTCTGTAGGGTTCCAAAGCCCATTTTCCTTCCATATGCCACAGCAGTGAATCCGAAAGTACATAGTAATAGCTACATTTAATCTAGGGCTTACCAGGTGCTAGACTCTATTTTATATTATCCAAATCCTCATAAAAATGCTGGGAAGTTCTTATTTCTGATTTTCTAGATAGCAGTAGAAGACATTAAAGATAAGACAAGGTCTAGAACATTGAACTTTAATTTTATTGGCTTCTATTTTATTTTTTTATTTATTGTAATAGAGACAGGGTTGTTATCCATACGAATGAAGTGGTATGTTCAAAGCTTATGTGGCCTCAAATTCCTGGGCTCAAGCAATCTTCCCACCTCATCCTCCCAAGTAGCAAGGATTGCACACATGCACCACCATGCCTGGCTATTTTTATTTTCTCTAGACATAGATATTATGATGCATAAACTGGTCTAGCACTCCCAGTCTCAAGCAATCCTCATGCCTTGGCTGCCCAAAGGGTTGTGCCACAGGACCTTTGGGGTATCACTTCACCAGCCAGAGAACTTTGTGGCTGATTGCACATTCTGCCAAAGTATCGCTCATGCCCACTGGGCTTGCTCTACACACTGGGCCCAGCAGGCTGTGCTTGGTTCATGCCACGAGTCCAAATCTGACATCTGTGAAGTGCTAGCCAGACGTAGAGCATCAAGGGGTGTGTGAGCAAACAAGTGTGAGGTCTGGTGAATGTACACCACTAGGTTTACCAGCTGCTGTGGTGGGTTGGGCAGCTGTAGGTGCTGGCACTGTGGCCGAACCAGATGTACCTCACATACCTTCTGCTGTGGGCACCTGCATCTGGATGAGTGGAATGCAGTGGTGCCTGGAAAGTTGGAGATGCCAGGAATTGCAGAACCCAAAAGTAGGTGTCATAACCCTGGCCTGGAAAACCCCTAGGTCTGGGCTTTTTGAAGGACCACATCTCTTCTCTCCTTCTTGTCACCCACAACATGGGAAGCGGTGGGGCATGTTGCAGCCCTGTTTGTGTTATAGCTCTTAGAGTCCCACTGTCTGGAGGGTCCCAAGTTCTTGTTCCACAGCCATGTAGAATGAGGTATGCAGACAACTGGAGGGTGAGTGATATGGTTTGGCTGTGTCCTTACCCAAATGTCATCTTGAACTGTAGCTCCCATAATTCTTATGTGTTCTAGGAGGGACACAGTGGTAGATAATTGAATCATGGGAGGCAGTTTTCCCCATAATGTTCTGATAGTAGTGAATAAGTCTCACAAAATCTGATGGTTTTATAAGAGGTTTCCCTTTTAGCTTGGTTCTCTCATTATTTCTCTTCTGCCACCATGTAAGATGTGCCTTTTGGCTTCCACCACGATTGTGAGGCCTCCCCAGCTATGTGCAACTGAGAGTCCATTAAACTACCTTTCCTTTTAAATTACGAAGTCTTGGTCTTGGGTATGTCTTTATTAGCAGTGTGAGAATGGACTAGTACAGTTTGGTACTGGTAGAGTGGGGTGCTGCTGTAGATACTGAAAATGTGAAAACAACTTTGGAACTGGGTAACAGGCAGAGGTTGGAACAATTTGAAGGGCTCAAAAGAAGACAGAAAAATGCGGGAAAGTGTTGAACTTCCTAGAAACTTGTTGAATGACTTTGACAAAAATGCTGATAATGATATGGACAATGAAATCCATGATGAGATGGTCTCAGATGGAGATGAGGAGCTTGTTGGGAACTGCAGTGAAAGTGACTTTTGCTATATTTTAGCAAAGAGACTGGTGGCATTTTGCCCCTGCGCTAGAGATTTGTGGAACTCTGAACTTAAGGGAGATGATTTAGAGTATCTGGCAGAAGAAATTTCTAAGCAGCAAAGCATTCAAGAGGTGACTAGGGTGCTGTTAAAAGCATTATGTTTTAAAAAGGAAATGGCATAAAAGTTCAGAAATTTTTTTTGCCTGACAATGCAATAGAAAAGAAAAACCCATTTTCTCAGAAGAAATTCAAACCTGTTGTAGAAATTTGCTTAAGTTATGAGGAGCCAAATGTTAATCACCATGACAATGGGGAAAACATCTTCAGGGTATGTTAGACACCTTCATAGCAGGCCCTCCATTATAGGAGTAGAGGCCTAGAGGAAAAAAAAAAATGGTTTCGTGGGCCTGGCCCAGGTTTCTGCTTCTCTGTACAGCCTAGGGACTTGGTGCCCTACGCACCAGCTGCTCTAGCCATGGCTAAAGGAGGCTCAGGTACAGTTCAGGCTGTGGCTTCAGAGGATGCAAGCTCCGGGCCTTAGCACCTTCAATGTGGTGTAGAGCCCGTGGGTACACAGAGTCAAAAATTGAGGTTTGTGAACCTCTGCCTAGATTTCAGAGGATGTATGAAAATGTCTGGATGTTCAGGCAGAGGTTTGCTGCAGAGGCAGAGACCTCATGGAGCACATCTGCTAGGCAATGTGGAAGAGAAATGTGGGGTTGAAGTACCCACACAGAGTCCCCATTGGGGTACTGCCTAGTGGAGCTATGAGAATAGGGTCACTGTCTTCCAAACCATGGAATGGTAGATCCACTGACAGCTTGCACTGTGCACCAGGAAAAGCTGCAAACACTCAGTGCCAGCTTAGGAAGGGCTATGCCCTGCAAAGTCACAGAGATGGAGCTGCCCAAAACCATGGGAACCCACCTTTTGCAGCAGTGTGACTGGGATGTGAGACATGGAGTCAAAGGAGATTATTTTGTAATTTAAAGGTTTAATGACTACCCTTTTGAATTTCAGACTTGCACTGGGGGCTGTAGCCCCTTCATTCTGGCCAAGTTCTCCCTTTGTAATGGCTGTATTTATCTAATGCCTATCCCCCAATTTTATCTAGCGAGTAACGAAGGTGCTTTTGATTTCACAGGCTCATAGGCAGAAGAGATTTGTCTTGTCTCAAATGAAACTTTGGACCATGGACTTTTGAGTGAATGCTAAAATGAGTGAAGACTTTTGGGAACTGTTGGAAAGGCATGATTGGTTTTGAAACATGAGGACATGAGATATGGGAGGTACCAGGGCTGGAATGATATGGTTTAGCTGTGTCTCCACCCAAATTTCATCTTGCATTGTACCTCTCATAATTCTCATGTGTTGTGGGAGGGACTGAGTGGGAAATAATCGAATCATAGGGGCGGTTTCCTCCTCTATAATGCTCTTGTGGTAGTGAACAAGTCTCATGAGATCTGATGATTTTATAAGGAGTTTCCCTTTTTGCTTGGCTCATTTATTCTCTCTTGTCTGCTACCAGGTAAGATGTGCCTTTAACTTTCTGCCATGACTATGAGGCCATGAGGCCTCCCCAGCCATGTGGAACTGTGAATCCATAAAATCTCCTTTCCTTTATAAATTACCCAGTCTCAGTTATGTCTTTATTTGCAGAGTAAGAACAAACTAATACAGTGAGGAGGGTGGAGAGTAGCTTCATTGAAGAACAGAATGGCTCTCAAGAGACCCAAAGTGGGTAGATTCTCTCCACAGGCAGGTCATCCTTATGAGTGTTTAGCTCTCAGTGGAGAAGAGACTGGAAGTGGACAGTTCCCTTCTGCAGGCAGGTCATCCCAATGTCTGTTCAAGTACAGCTGAGTCTGGGGTTCTTATCCACACAGAAGTGTGGAAGTGCTGCCAAGTGGTCCATGGGAAGCCATAGGAGGGGTCGAATAAAGCACCATAAATTCTCACCCCAGGCCACAGAGTACACCCAGAACTGGTAGACCAGCCCCCAGGCTTCAGGCCATCCCTGCCTTGACAGTGGGGTTTAAACCATTGACCTGACCCTTTCAGCCCAGGAACCTGCCTTCATCATGCCATCCATGTTGCCCAGGCTGTTCATGACTGGGGGCATCTGTAGGCCTGTGCCAAGCTACCCTCAGCCCCCAAATCTGGGCTTTCCTCCCTGAGCTTGTCACTGCTCAAAGAGTCAGAGGGGGCCAAGGTGGTGGAGGAGGGCTGGCATGTCAGCACCACCCCAAGCACATGCACATTCAGTCAGGTTGCAACGGTACCCACACCTGGCTTCAACTTTGCTCTGAAACTGGAGTGAGTACCAGGAGCAAGGAGAGGCCAGGGAGCAGGATCAGGCACTTCCAAGCTTGGAGTGGCAGCGGAGGCTTCCTGAGCCCCTGAGAGCTCAGGGATGACTGGGTCTGGAGCTACTACTAGGAAGTTAAAGCTGCACCCAGTAGTGCAGGGTTCCTGCCCCTTTAACTTGGTAGGGGCAACTGTTCCCAGACCCTATCAGCTCTGCAGAGCATGCAGCCCCAGCTGCACCTCCCCTGCTGCAGCAGGCATCCCGTCAGTGGCTGCTCCACACAGGTCACCACCACCATCAGTTCGAACTGCAAGTGTGAGCCACTGTGCCTGGCCATTTATTGGCTTCAAAATCAGTCACTTTTTTATCATGTTGATTTTACATTTGTTTTACATTTTATATGACTACCTATGGTAATTTATAAATTGTTCTAATTCATCTTCTTATATTCATGGTCTTTTGAAGTGTGGCTCCTCAATCAAGTGATACAATCTATTTCTGCTCTATTAAATTGAGTTTGCTTTGTGACTTGCTATGGCTAATGGGACAACAAGGAACATGACAGCAACCTGCTGAATGATGAGAAGACATGTGGCCGTCACCCCAGAGACATCAAGGCAATTTTCGAAAGTGTAAGTGAGTCACTTCCTCTGCAAAACCAACCAGCTGTTAACTATAAAACATTCAGCCCCAGCTAAGTCAGTAGACATCAACCAACTCAAAACTAGAATAAACATCGCTTGTTTTAAGTCACTAAGTTGTGAAGTAGATCATTATACTATCTTATCCATGACCTTAAAGTAGTACTCTCTCAAATCATATTGGGATCATGTATGAGGACCTGAATTCTATTGAAGTCACTAATTTGCATAAGTAGGACTCTATCTTTCAAATTTGGTAGGAACATTCTACCAGGAATTAATGTGTCTAAGGCAATGCATTGATATATAGTTCCTATCTATTTCTCATGATGAGCAATTATGTCATAAGCATCTATCTCAGTCCATTTGTGCTGCTAAAACAAAATACCTGAGATGGCGTAATTTATAAAGAATGAAAATTTATTTTCTTGCAGTTCTGGAGGCTGAGAAGCCCATGATTAGGAACTGGAACATTCAGTGTCTGGTAAGGGCTGCTCTCTGTTTCCAAGATGGTGCCTCCTGCTGCGTCCTCACATTAGCGAAGGCATAAGAGCAAAAGAAAACCTACCTACTTTCCTCTAGCCCTTTTATAAGGCCATTAATCCATTCATTAGGGCATTGCCCTCATGGCCTAATCACCTCCTAAAGGTCTACCTTTTAATACTAATACACTTACGCTGAGGATTAACTTTCAGTATGAATTTTGGCAGGGATACAAACGTTCAAACCATAGCAGCATCCAAGCAGTTAATCAATATAGAAACCACAGAGGCATTTCTGCCCCTTTCCCTGTAGCTATTCATTCAAATGTCATGTCTCTTCAAAATATTTATCAGATCCTCACATTACCAGGGACACTCTCCTAATTTCCCCATCATCTTTTATCTGAACTGCTGAAAAGCCTCCTTCTGCCAATCTCTTCTCCAATCAGCTCATCACCTACACTAACACCAGAAATATGTTTCTCATATATAGAACTGATAGTGTTATGATGTAACATCCAACTGACATGGGGAAAAATAATTTAAAATATTTCCTGTTTTTATCTGGGATAAAACAGACTCTTTGGTATGGGATACAGAATCCACCACAATCTGCCTTGCTACCTAGCTCGAGTCTTTCCCTCTAGAACTGCTCCCCTTTTTCTGTGCATCCAGCACACTTCCTTAAAAATACCTTCACACATCTATGTTTTCTCTTATTTTTCTTCCTCTTCATGGGATTCGTGTATCATTTCTCCTCCCTTTTTCTCTAATAAAGCGCACATGCATCCTTTAGGATCTAGGCTGTCACCTTCACTGTCAGTGTTTTAGAAATCATTGAATGAGTTTCCATGAAGTGCAAAGCACAGACCAGTGACTTGGGGAAAAATAACAAGTGTGCCACTCTGTGACCTCAAGGAGCATACAGATAAGGGAAAGGAACATGTATGCCACAAAATATAATCCAATGTCTTAGGTGTTTAATAACTGAGGCAAGCACAAGTGGCATATGGAAAACTGACATGTGCACATAGGTCCACCCTATCACACAGTCAGGGAAAACTTAATAGAGAAACTAACATAAAGCAGGGCCTTGAAACATTGGTAGAAACATATTAATTAGACAAGAAGAGATAAGAAACTCCTAAGAGAGAAAATCACCTATACAGAAAACATGTTCATAAACATGTTTAGTTTTATTTTATTAAGTAATGAATACTGTTGAAAATACAAGAAAATATATTGCATTACTTAAAACCAAAAAGTCAACCTTGTAATATTTGCTATTTACAAAATTAAAAGGCACGTCCACATATCAGCTTTGAGAACTAAGAAACGTTTTGAAAATCATAGATAAATATTTATTTAATAGCAGAAGGATTAAATTTGTATTTGGATTATGAGACAGTAAATGTTACCTTTAATTTTTGTTTTGTATGATTACTTACAAAAATCTCTAAAACAGGTGGCATCAATTTAAAAGTACATAATCTCAATATATATTTTTAAAACTAAATGATGTTAATATAAAAATTACTTAAAAAGAATAATAAAATATAATTTTAAAAGGAAAAAATTAATCAGTGTGACTTAGATTAATATATCTTCATGTAAAAAAAAAACAGAATAGTAGAAAAATAGAGTCCCACTAAAAAAGTAATGGTTGTCTGGTAATTTCTAAATCTAAATTGGTATTCAACTAGTCCTCCACTAGTTGAATCTCTACAAATACTCATTTATTGAAGCTGTTGTATTTTGATTTACAAACATTTCTTGGAGAAATATTTCACATTTTTGTTTATACATGAGACTTGCCTTAGCTGCAGATTACTCACATACTTCATTTTACCCCTGCTTTTTGAACACACTGTATTACAACATACATGTGTACAACCATCTTTAATATGATTCATTGCTTTCATCAAACAATGAGTAGTTACTTTTTATTTGCATAAAGAAAACTTACCTTTAACAGATGGTCTTTCTAGCTCAGAGTCAAGGTGAATTGGTGGAGAAATGTATGAAACTTGTCCATGATGTGCCTGCCCTGTGGACACAAGAAAAATTTGTTAAGAAAACATGGTGGGTATGTCTTTCCCTTAAAAATGGTTTTTATGATATCACATTATCTCACTCACTCCAAACTAAAATAGTAGCCTAAATTATAGAGTGTAGACATATCTGCCCAAACATAAAAACAATGTGTCATCCAAACATCACTCAATTAAAGCAGTGCTTCTCTAATAATCTGAGTTGTTTCTTCTTTCTTTTTGTTATTGTTTCATTACAAATTTGTTATGGAGTGATAATGTTAAAAACACAATAAAGATGAGTTATAAGGAAAAGTAAAAAAAAAAAAAATCAAAGAAAAGACATATAAAACAGAAGTCCTTATTTTTTGTTTTTAGATTAAATAAATATTATCTGGTCTATTTATTTACTGTAAGTATTTCTAAACTCTCTCAATATCTGCATCTACTTCAGTGCAGCTCAGTAATATCAAGATCACTTTACAACTATGATTGATGTTTATTTTACCTTTAAGATTCACCCCCACTACTTGAGTCCAAAAGTATTCCTATCTATATTTAATGAAAAAACAACTAACCACAATTTAAACAGCAAGTAGCTGGATTAATTCTGTTCCTTGCAAAGCTTTCTATTGGCTAACGTATATATTTGTAATATACTTTCTGTCTTATGAGATGAAAGAGGTAAAGTTAATTTTAAGGCCAAGACGCTGATTTGAAAAAGTGTTAGCTTAAATATAAAAGAATCATCTAATGCTCAAAGTAGCCATAGTTTGTATACTGATAATAATATGCAAATAGGATTTTGAGGCAAGGAAGCATAATTATAGAGTCAGTTCAATTTCTAAAGGTACTTTATATACAGAAGGTTTGAGTGGGAGTGGAGGACTCACTACTTTCTTTCTACAATGGGAATATGCAGTTGTATATTTTATACATTTACTATAGCAATTTACAGGGTTGTTAATCTCTTTTCCTAAACAAGGAAAGTTAATGATTCATAGATTATGATAACAGTTGGAGTAACCTTCCCATTTCAAGTAATATTCAACTTGTAATAAACTCTGCTGATTCCTCTTAGGAGGCACATTTCAAATAATTAATATGGCTCCCTGTTGATAGAAGCTGCCGTTGCTCCCAGCATTTTTCCAGCTAACAGCAGAGACAGTGGAGAGACTGTAATATACAGAGTCCCTCATAATGGTAACTAAGAATATTGCACATTTACTGGCCATGTTTCAGTGGAATACTAAAAACATTATTATAAAAGAAATAAGACACCAATTGTGTACTACTAGCAGTTCATGTTCAATACAGTTTATTAAGAACTTCAGATAATCTTAATTATAAAACCACCTGTTTACCTATGCAATATAGTAGATACAAGTACATTTCTATTTTTAAGATCCTGTGTCATTACATTATTACATATAGATTGCTTAGAAACTTCATAGATCTTGTAAATACAAAAAAAATCATTTATACTGGCTCAAAAATCTTAGCATATAGAATAATACTGATTTTCTTTTTAATACTGGAACATAGCTTTCATCGCCTATGACAATAACCACAAAACACTCATACATACATAATTTCCTTTACTCTAACCACCATCGCTATGTGCTTTGTTAATACATGCACATTTTAAAACCAAAGAATAGTGGCAATAGCGAAATGGGAGAGTAGCTTGTTAATTAGTTTTGATTATATTTACTCTAGGTAAAATGATACATTTGTATGGAGATTATATATATATATATATATATATATATATATATATACCCACCAAAAGACACACATACATCCATACCTATATCTTAATAAAGCATAATTCACATACCATAAAAATCACCAATTTAAAGTAACAATTCAATAGTTTTGAATCTATTCACACAGTTATGCAACCACCACCACAACCAATTTTAGAATATTTTAATAAAAACAAAAAAACCTTAAGTTTATTAGCACTTGCTCCTCATTTCCTCCCAAGCCATCTCAGCTCTAGGCAGCCATTAATCTACCTTTTGTCTCTGTAGATCTGGCTATTCTGGATTTTTCATATGAATGAAATTATAAAATCTGTGTTTGTATATTTTGTGATCAGCTTCTTTCACTCAACGTAACTTAAAAACACTCATCCATTGTTGTAGCACAAAGCAGAACTTTACTCCTTTTCCTAAATAATATTCCATTCCATAGTCATACTACATTTAATTTATCCATACATCAATCACGAACATTTAGAGCCACTTCCACTTCTTGACTATTGCCAACAATGCTGTTTTGAGCCTTCATGTTCAAATTTTTATGTGCATTTTTCTTGGATATATATTCATGAGTGGAATTACTATGTCATAATGGTAATGCTATGAGTAAACTTTTGAGAGACTGTCAGACTGATTTCCAAAGAGGCTGTACCCTCTTACTTTTCGATAACAGAATATAAAGGTCCCAATGACATACAGATATTTTGAGACTTTATTTTTTTAATGTGATAGTAGAGTTAAGTCAGCATTGACCAGATTTTGATATGATTAATATGATGATGACTATAAAATCTGGGAAAGAAACCATCTCCCTAAGTGAGTGTAGAAAGATAAGTCAGAGCATTTGAGCCAGAAATTATGTCCCCATTGTGAGGGTTGAAGGAGAAAAATCATCTAATAAACAGAAAAGAAATGTAAAAAAACTTGTGTTCTGAAATGAAAATGTGGACTGTCCACTATCAAGTATGCCAAAGAAGTAAAAATTTTATGGGTCTGCTCAAAAACCCCAGTGCTGTAGCAAAAATCCAAAGGCCATTTTGGATTCTGGAAAAGCCTTTATTTTTATAACTTCAATCTCCTTTCAACTTTCATTTAATTTCTATTTTATTAAGAAACCCTGTGCAATTTCTACTAAAGTTCAAATAGAAAAAGGACTTGACCAGCATTTGGTACAGGAAAAGGCTCTTCTCTCTTTCTGCTGTCAATACTTTCCCTTTACATTTCAGCATAGAATTCAATTTATAGAACCATGGAACTAGGACAGAGAAAGACATTTAATAGCTTATATTCCAGAAGCCACATTTTTGAATGAGAAATCTGACATCTTGAGAAGTTGGAGACTTTTTCAAAAGTCAAATCAAGGTGGTGGTTGTCAAGAGTGGTGTCAGAGGCTGGTTAGAAAGTGGATGCTTTACAGCTAGCCTGCAGAAAACTGCCAGCAATCCTCATCCTTACCTCTCCAGCCTCCCTTAGAAAGGCATTATTTTCAAGATGTCTGGGGCATAATCCTTCATGTATGTTGAGATGTTAAAAATACTAAGAGCTATCTATTTATGAAAATACAATCTTCCCCGTAAGTCTAGGTTTACAATCTACAGGCAGTTTAGTTTAATGGGTAAGATCATGACCTCAGAAGCAGGACAGACTGCGTTGCTACCCCGATTTTGCCACTTGTTAGTCATATAACCCAACTAGCTAAGTGACCATCAAGTTGCTTCACTTCTATGTGACTTAATTTTCTCATTTGTTTAATAAGGATTATAACAGCACTAACCTCATGGGGTGTTCTGAAGAATAGATTAATTTTTACTTAGGTAGTCATTAAAACAATGCTTAGTACACAGAATAGCAATTTTTAGCTATTATTATCACTAGAAGTTCATTCTTTCATTCATTAATTCATTAGGCACAGGTGCCTTTCTAGGTGTTTGGCATACATCAAACACTATAATAAATGAGAATCAATTCTCTTATGCAGAGTGAAATAAAAACAAGCAGTGAACATTAAATACATGAATTATATTATACGTGCAAGATGCTTAGGGCAATGGGAGCAACTTAGGTTAAAGGGTATCTGGAGTGGGATGAGCAACTAGCAATTTTAAATAGGGTGCTCAAGAAAAGCCTAATTTGATTTTCATGAACAGCACTTACAGAGTTTAAGAGATGGCAATAGGTAATATCTGACTTTTATGAGAAACTCTAAAAGGATAAATGCATAGACAAAGGCTCAAACATAATTTTAAAAAGTAAGACTTAAAGAACTAAATATGCTGCTATCAGATGCTTTTTCCCTAACCCATTTATTACAAATTCTACACATATTCATAGAAATATTAATAATGTCATCACTGACCAATGGATAAAAGAAGATATCAATGAACTATGAAGATATACAATTGAGAAAATAAACGCAACTTTCTTCTTAAAGTAACACCATAAAACCTCCATTGATTTCTACAGTTACGCCATTTTTCAACTCAACGTTTTCCTGTTTTCTATATAGTGCTGTAAACGAGTTGAATAGTTTATGGTCCTCCAGGCAGATTTCATGCCTTCTTTTTTTGTTGTTTGCCTTAAATTTTTCAACTGCTGATCATGATTATTTTACTTTAGTAATATGACATTACTGCTCTATAAAGACAATAAATTGAATGCCACATCTTTTCTTCTGAGGTTTTTAAATAATATTATCATTTTGCTTTTATAATGTTTTAGATGTTAGTAAGTTATATATATCTGCTCTACTACAATAATAACTACATGTGGGGAAGAGGGAACCCACACCATACTACATTTAAAAACAACATGTGGAATTATTCTAAGTTTTTAAAACACTCTGAAAGTAGCTCTAATCCTCCAAAAAAAAAAAAAAAGCCTGATTTCTTGTTGGAAATAATCTCTACTGCTGAAAAGAAGAAAACAGAGATCAATGTGCTGTTTATGCTGATGGAAAATTGGGCATGCCTAGCATTCTGACAGCTTGATTTTTTTTGTCTTCAAATCCCACTCTGACTATAACCATATGGCATTTATAAAGTCGGCTCTCAGGTGATGATGTTTACTAATCAAAAGTCATCATCAAAGAAAAGCTGTTTAAAGTCAATTTGATACCTATCCTCTTATTCTGGTTTCTTTTTTTTTTTTTTTTTCCTCTTCATCCTAATAATCCTACACATTTGCAGTGAATTTGCGGTAAAGTATGAGCTAGCAGAGAAACAACTCATACTTGACTTATCCCAGACATAAAG